CAGCAATTAAGGACAATTACTATGCCAAAAATGAGCGCGATCTGTCAGACAGTTCGTTTACGGCAGCTGGTGAAACCAGTTCACCTCAGTAGTGCGTTGCGAAAAAAACAATGGAAAAAAATATTGAACAAAGAGTTTGCATCAAATTTTGTGTTTCGAACGAAATTTCTTGTGCAGAATCGTTGCGAATGCTACAAAAGGCTTATGGGGAATCAGTTTTATCGAAAACTCAAGTTTATGAGTGGTACAAAGCCTTTCAGGACTGTCGTACGACCGTCGAAGACATTTCGCAACGCACTACTGAGGTGAACTGGTTTCAACAGCTGCCGTAAACGAACTGTCTGACAGATCGCGCTCATTTTTGGCATAGTAATTAAGGACAGTGCTGCCAAACTACATAAACTTAAAATATCGAAAAATATACAGCGCGCGAATTTTAAATGAGAATTTCCGAAAACTTTTCAGTCTTAATGTAGTTCAAATCTGTAATTCGCTTTTTTTTCTGAATATCTGCGTTGTTAGCAATAATGGGTTTAGATTCGAAAGTCAAGGTTTTAATGTGTTAGGTTAGGTTAGGTTATACCGGTGATCCCTAGTGGATCCACTCAGGCCTATTGGCCCATTGTGATGCCGTATATAAATAATAAAAACCTCAGGATTTAAAACCACCTAGAACTTTAATGTGTTAATGGAACATTTTTATTTTAAGAGACACGAATTTCTGGTCTTCAGTTAATTTGCTAGAAATAAATTGATAAACATTTTTGATTTAGAAGACCTTTTCGCAATTTCCCTCCTTTCCTGGCAAAAAGCGGGATTTAAAAGCGGGTTTTTTACCTTACAATTTATTCTCAAAAAAATCCATCTTTGTGAGATAGATTTTTATCCTTCTTTTTTTGCGTTTAAAGCAAAAAAAATGAAATTTTAAGGAAATTTACTGCAAATATGATTCTCATATCTGTTCTTTTGTCGATTTATTGAAATCTTGCCGAATAAATACAGGAATGGATAGAGGACTCGTATATATTTGGTTTGTTTCTTTATTATAGACCTTTATGGGACTTAGATAGTTCTAAAAGCAAGTGAAAAACAGATTCTAACCGATTAATGGTGGGTGATGAGACACGATTTAAATATGGTGATTGTCCAACTATGGAGATAAGAAGACGTAAATGGCGCTGGATAGGCCACAATCTCCGCAGACTCAATGGAAACATTGCAAGTCAAGCAATGAGATGGAATCCTCAATGCAGCCGCAGACATGAAGCACCAGCTAAAACTTGGAGAAGAACAATTGAAGAAAAATTAAGAGAAGCGAACTATTCCTGGAGTGATATATACCGCGAATCAAATAACCGATCGGATACGGTTATTCAATAAAAATAAAAATATGGTAGAGGCCCTATGCTCCACTGGGAGATAAGGATAAAAGAAGAAGAAGAGAGAAGAATAGACTCCATGTACAGCTTTCTTGACTAGGGAGTAAACTTTGTTGGGAAAATATTTTCAATATGATATTAATTTTGTACTGAAATAAATATAATTCGATATTTGTTTGCTCATTTCTAAAGAAAACCTATTTTTTGATGTCTGTTTCCATATTATATACACATATATATTTTAGTGCTGATTTTATGTATGCGTATAACAGAAGTTAAAGGTTGGCTTCTAGGTGGAAGGTTGATGTTACTATAGCAAACAATTTTTATGCAACTGACTGCGGCCACATTGAGATGTTAATTCGTGTGACACCACAGGAAAAATGTTTTAATAGTACAATAAGCATTTTAGATTCCAGATGAAGATAATGAACATGCGACATCTGATGGCAGCCGATTGAAATGTACATGTTAGACTGAATATTATCTTTTTTCTTTCTTAGCATAACAGTCCTGGGTGGACCAGTGCTTCTGAATATTATCTATTCATCTATTTAGTCGATACTAAAACTATTTAGCCCGTAATATAAAGGGGCTGTATATGTTCACCAGAGTTTGAAAGGACTATGAAACGTACTGGTTTGAGTACATTATGTTAGTATACTGTTTGATGGGCTCTTTTTGGTAGGGGTGCATATGATTGTGTGGATAGTCAATTGACTGTTAGATGTATTGACTAGAAATATTGTGTACAAATGACTGAAGTAGAATCATATATATATAATCTTTTCGATATTTTATTTATACTAAAGAAGTTTAGTATAAGTTTTCTACATTTAGTACAACCTATTTTCAAATTGCACGTATGATAAGTTGAATATACGACTCGTTTTTTTAGTTTTGAGATGAGTTAACTTTATAAAAGAACCTATTACATAAATGTTTATTAATTTTTTTGTTTAGGTTCCAAGAAAGGCCGGGTCTACGCCCCAGAGCCACTCGTCGCTTCCATTCAACACCTTCCAAAGGGCCTTCAGATGCCAGTGGGTTACAACAACGTTGCTATTTTTAACTAAACATTATTGAAAATGTAGAATCATTCTAAGACCCATTGAAAAGAGATAGAAAAGAGTAGTATTGGAATGGGATAACCAAATTTTCTAGTAGCATTTACTTTAATAAAACTTCTTATAATTGTAAAAACAATAAGATTTATTTGAAAAATGTTGGCATACAAATATTAATTTTATCTAAAAATATGTATACGATTATTTATTTAATAATACTTATATATTAATTACATGCTTATATATGTATATGTATATATTTGTATCAAAATTTTGTGTGTAATAAAAAAAATTATTTTAAATATGTAGATACATATAATGATATCCACCATTGCAATAACGTAATAAGTTTAATAATATAAACCTAATAAAATAAAAATATATTATAAAATAAAATAATAAAATATATAATAAAATAATAATAATACATTATTACTTTATGGTTTACAAATAAGAAAAATATTAAAATAACTAATGCCAAGAGATTTTTAAAGAACACAGCCTTAAATAACCGAAACTTACAATTTTAAGTGAATAAACATAGTTGGAATATATCTTAATATATATTGATATTTACTTTTTTTGATACTGTTGCTATATTGTATATTATAAATTTATTAAAACTAAATATTTTAACTATATAATTTAATTATTTCGTGAGACAAATGTGCAGTAATTATAACTATTTTGTTTATACTTTTGATTGCATTATAAATAATGCACTGAAAGTCATATAACATACTTTTTTTATTTATAAGGAACAAAATGAAATTTTTGTGACAATATAATAAGTGACAACCTCACGATTATATTAACTAATGGAAGATATAGACTTATTATTTAAATAATAAGTATTATTGAAATATATTATAAGTACATAATAATCAGGATATATCAGTACCCTGAAGATGACTATAGTCTATAGTTGAAATATTGATAAAAATAATATATAATTTTTAAACATAATTTAAAAAGTTGTGTGCTATATGAACAATTGATACTAATGCAAATAAGTATTGTATAAAAAAATAACACAGTGATATATTAAACTGTACGAACTATATGTGTTTAAATAACTATAAATAGTAGTTATAATAAATATAATGTAAAGAAATTTTAATAAGATTGTTTTTTAAAATTTTGTATGTTAAATTTAAGAAATAGTTTTTGATTTTAGAAAATTAAAAGCTATGACAATAACAGAAGGAATTTTCCACTAATACAAAATGAAATGATAATACAATTTAATTAATTGTAAAACACTACTAAACTTTGTCTAATTTACCATACATAACTAGTTTTCTAATGGAATTATATGGACGGCTAAGTAATATATAATAACAAATAGATATAAATGATTATGCACAAAATACAAACAAAAATATATATATCCTAATATTACAATTGAATGAACTTAAATTAACTGTAAGAACACAAAGAAATTACAATAAAATGGAAATACAGCCAACCTTCCATAACTCAAAGTACCATTTTGCAAAGACAAGATTCCACTTATGGAGACTTCTAGTTATAGAACTTTTTGTAATTATATGTAATTTGCTCTCTAAACCCTGTTGCACTCTATTTAGTTCGAGTTATAGATATTCGAGTTATGGAACTATGACTGTAATTAATAATAGAATATTAGAAAGCTCCATTATTTGAAAAGTTCTGTTTTTTCTCTTCAGACTATATTCATTTGTATTTTAATAACTAAACGATCACCTTCACAGAAGCCTTTATGTACAATATCAGAAACTTTGGCATATTCGACAAAACCGAATCCTCTAGTACTGATACGTTCATGTGGTTGATGAAATGCTAATATTTCAGGTTTTGTCATTAAGGTGTCATGTTGTGAGAGATTGCCTGGATCACGTGGATGTATCATACACAATTTTATGCGTCCTTTAAATGGCCAATCAAGATGGAAATCGTTTTCGGATTGCATTAAGTGAACGTGTAGACTTAATAAATTATCCTTCTTAGGCTGTATATTAAGACGAGCGCAAAATTTGTAGCCATAAGGCGACGTGTAGCATTCTTTCGAATATATTTGATTATTAGCATTGGCACGTAAACGCTCGACAAGCGCATGGAAATTATTAATTTCCCATACTATTGTACCATTGCTGTAACGAGGATCGATTTGTTGTCGCGATGTAGTTAATTGTAATTGTTTTGTTAGATTTTCAAGTTTAACATCCTGTTCACGTGTACGTTGTTCCAAAATAACGATACGTTGATACATTGCTTGTATTAGTTGCTCGTCTGCTTCGTTTGCATATTGTGGTGGTGGAGGTACTGCACCTGAAACATGACCATTTGTCTTAGATGTTGCCTTCTGTGGGTTCCATGTTGATATAGCGGTTTGTTGAAATGCCTGCAACATCAGTTGCAAATGATGTGGCATATTATCTTTGATATGCTCTTCAATAGCATTTGTTTCTGCTCGTGCAATGAAATCGCATTTAACAATAGCAAAGGGACACTTCTCTTCGGTGCTCTCTTGTTGACGTCTGTAACGACAAGTTGGTAAGTGTCGATCCACTTCTATAGGTGATGCGATCACTTCGCAACCATGCGGTGAATTGGGACATTTAAATTTAATTTGCTCAATTTCACGCCTGGTAAAATTATCTGGAAAAATACGGTCAGCAGAGAGTTTTTCATTGTCCAACGGACAGCATTGATTATGATTTCGTAGCCATTCATTGAGACAGGATTTGCAAAAACGATGTCCGCACGATGTGAGTACAGGTTCATTTAACCAATGTATGCATATTGCGCATTCGTAACGTGAATCTGGGTAGTCTGGATCGTTTTCATCCGATGTTATAGATGCTGGCGCTGGTATGTATGATTTTGTTGTAAGAGTTAATGAGTTTGGTGGCACAGCCATTGATTTATTATCGTAGTGCTTATTGTGATTATGATTGGAATTTTGCATTTTGCGTATTCAATTACTTAACTTTATACTTATATACAATCATATATTCCTAAATTAATTTAGCACAATTCCTTATTTTACATAAAAACACCTCAAAAATACTGTAGAAAACTACGTACAAAAATTTGTATGACTAAAATCGATTTCTTCTGTTGTTGATTTGTCATATGCTTAAACAGTGTTGCTAACTGCGTATGATACAGTCAGGGAATTTTTTGACATATCATACACTGTAAGTGATATAGTGTACGTTTTTGGGTGCATACATGAATGATAATATTTCAGTTCCAGAATGCAACTTATTACAAAATGAATTTAAAATTATAATCTGATCTCATACAAAAATTCAATAACGAAAATAAATGAGTTACAATTTTTACAAATTAAAGTTAAATTTATAATTCACAATAGCGCAATTGCAAAGTAAGATTGTGAATAAATTACGGGCAACTACATTAGTTAGATTTGGAAAGATTTCTATGTTCGAACTCAAATATCGTATTATTTTAGAATTTTATCTCAAAGTAAAGCAAAACAAAATGCAGTATTGCTGGAATATTAGGCATTTCTAATTAAGACTACAAAAACTAAAGTATGATTATAGTACAATTTGTTAAGTAAAGATATTTTTGCAGAATAGATAAAATTATAATTAATTGTGCTGTATGAGTACTTATAGCATTATAAGTTGTTTAAATATAATTAAACCATTCAAATGCACTAGAATTCGTTAATGCTTTTTATATTTTTTTATTGTATTTTTATTATTTTATTTTATTGTATTGACAGCAATTATTGAATTATTAAATAAGTTTCATTACTTTAGTTTGGCTGTAAAACCGCTTACATGATCAATCATTATGATCAACTAAGCCGTATATGTGACTGTATGCTTAACCCTATAATTATACTTATAATTAACAATTATTAGTTTTTGAATATCGAACAAATACTATTAAAGATAAAATTTTTCAAAATAAAGTAAGGTTTTATTCATAGTAGTCATTATGTAAACATATACATTGGAATTGCAATATTTACATTATATATGGCGGCAAACATACACAACTGCTTGTTTAAAATAATTTTTTTTAGCTTATTTTTTAATCTCTATCAATCAGTTGTCGCGCTGATATAAAATATGACTATTATGACGTATTAATTTATGTGAAAATAATTACAGCATGTACATATATGCAATTATTTAAATAGTATGTAATCATGACTAGCATTTATAGAATATTTATTTTCTTTTCCAGAGAGACAGATGGTGAATTAAGCTGTTTGAATTTATAAAAAAATCTATGTATATGAATAGTAAAGCTAATTTTATGTTTCTACTGCAGTTTAAACTACTTATGTTAATGAAATTAAAATTTAGTCGTTTCTATTGGCATAAGCTAATTTACATTTATCACAATTTTATTGATTGATTTATTTTATTATTTATCATATATTATATTTTATATAATATTTTAATATATAATATTTAATAAAATTTTATTAATAAAATTTATTGATTATATTGGTAGTTTCTTTTTTGGGAAATTTCAAGGGTTGCATTCGAAATTTGTCACATTAAATCAGCTGATTTATTTATAATGAGCCCATTTACATGAAAATTCTTTATATGGTAAATTATTCTTATTAGCTAAGTGATAAGTGGAAACATAATATCATGCTAAGTACATAATCTATGCAAGAGTGTAATTGAAACTGTGACGAAAAATTCTAAAAATTCCGAAAAATTTTTAAAATTCCACTTACAACGACTATTTGTTATATAACATGGTAGGTTCCTTAGCAATATTTATCTTATTTACTTTTTCATATTTAAATTAGGTTTAATGAAGATTAGCGCAGCTATTTTCAGATAATGTGCTGGCAACCCTTAATATTCTAATTGGCAAAATTACTGCATAAAAGATAGGCAGAGCGTGTATAAACGGCAGTTGGAATTTTAACACAAGTGGATTCGGATCGGTGTCGGCGGATTTTTATTTAAAATATATTTTTATTTTAAATATATATATATTAGAAATTTGAATTTAAAAATGAATAGTATAATTAATAAAATTCTAGTGTTTTTATTAATCTCATTAATATTAGTAATAAATACATTGGCTGTTTATTTACCAGAAAATAAAAATTTAAATATATTTCAATTAAATGATGACATACAAGCGTTAAAACAACAACAACAAGGTTTGAATAATAATACAAATGCAATTGGCCAATACCAGAAATCATACGATAAAATTAGTGACGTCACGAAGCGTGCAGCTAGTGTACAACAACAACAACAACAACAACAACAAACCGATGATGGCCTTAACGCTGAAACAACAAATATACGCAAAAAAAGAGGATTATCTGAGTGGCTAATAGCACCAAATACGCGTTGGTGCGGTAGAGGGAATACGGCTAATGGTACTTATAATGTAATTGGTGGCGCTTCGCTAGCCGACAAATGTTGCCGGCGTCATGATCACTGCCCAACATATATTTCAGCTATGAGTAATCGCTATGAATTATTCAACTATCGACCTTATACACTGTCATCCTGCATGTGCGATCGTAGATTTCGCACCTGTCTAAAAATGGCCAATGATGAAGATGCGAATACGATTGGACAATTATTTTTTAATTTTGTGCAAACGCAATGTTTTGTTTTAAAAACTGAGACAATATGTAGAAAGCGTGGTGCTGATGGTAGTTGTGAAAAAGAAGAGGTCAAGAGAAAAGCATATTTACGAAATAATAAAAGATTTTAAATTAAATATTTGACAAAAAAAAAAAAATATTTATATTTTAAATCAGTTAAACTAATTTAAATTTAAATTTTAAAAATATTTTATAAAATTGTAACAAAAAAGGAGACTGCTAACGTACTTATAAATGTACTTATAGAATATGCATAAAAGCTTTAATATATGTTTACGACGTCACTTTGGCTAAAATGATGAGAAGAGCATGGCTGTAATATGTGTTGGCAACGCAAGCATTGTCAGCTTTTGAGCGTTACTTTTCGAATGTGAACGCATTTTAATATTGTACACTACAAATAAATATTTTAAAATTGTATTTTTGTTTTAAGAAATTATTTTTATTTACTTGAAATACTTGTAGAATTTTAATTGAATTGTTTTATTTGAAAAGTAAATTAAGAATTAAATTATGTATGCATGTATTAAATTCAAATAAGGCCACAAAGAGGACAAAGCCAAATAGAATATATATATATAAATTAATAAATTTTTGACTAAATTTAGACTCATATACGAATTTAGTTACCATATACATATACCAAAATATAATTATATGAAATAATTGTTGAATTATAATAAATACCTATACTTTAACAAGTAGTAAACAACGAATTTTTATATTAGAATTAGTATATAATGGCTACTAGTGTTCAAACATATATATATACATATATATACACTTTATATATATTATAGTACTAGAATTAGTATATAACATGTTAATACTGCTCATATATATTTAAATATACGTTTAAGTTTTCAATTCCTAGTACTTATAGCAAACAATAATTAATATTTATATAAAAAATAACATATATATTAAATAAGATAAATATATACAATTGTTATATTTTAGTAATAGATATATTATAATTATTGTTTTAAAATGTAAAACTTTTACATATAATTTACTTAATAATTAAATATACATATCTCTGAAAAAAATCTTGGCTTTTCAATTTCTTTCAATCATTCAAAACTGGACTTTAAACTTTTAAAAGATGCTTCAATCAAAAAAAAAAAATTGATAACATATGTTATCAGTCTGTACAAAAAAACTTTTATTAAATATATTAATATTTTCTGTCTACATTCCCTTCTCATTTTGTTAAATTTTTAATTAATTTTTTTTTTTAAATCATGAGGTCAAAGTATTTAAAAACAATGTGCTTTCATTACATCACTGAGTGGACTTTCAGTTTACAGAGAATTTTTTTTAATATATGTTTCGTATATAATTAAAATAATTATTTATAAATAAGACACACCTCCTTATTTCATATTTAGTTTTCAGATTTGTAGGCAGAAAAAAAAATACTGACTAACTATAAACATTGCTGATTAAATTCCATTATTATTGATTAGTGATACTTTTAAATTAAAATGATAAGTGAACTAAATTGATCAATTGACGTTAATTGTTATTAAATTATTTTAATTGTAATTATTTTTTTTAGCTTGAATTAAATGTTTTTGTGTTCGACACAACAAATTTTTGTGTAAACAATAATATTTACGTACTATTTGTATATTTCTTAAAAATATATACGATTATATATATAGCGGTTAGTATATATAGTATATATAAAATTATTTTCATTACAACAATAATTTGTTAGTAGTAAAATATATAGTAAAATCCAAATTTAGAACTTTATCGTTTATTCTAGCAAAATCGTACTATATACGTCAGAGATAATTGACACCTTTAACCTTGGCGTTTCAGATTGTGCATAATATAAATCTGAAACATATATTATTTAATAAGTTTGATAAGTTTAATAATATGTTATAATCAGTCATAGACGTAAATCTATATAATTATGCTTTATATTCTACATTATATTTAAAAATTTAGTTCAAGCCTCTCACCGTCTCTGATTTAGTAAGAGTGTTTCTTTTTATAATTAAGAGCAAAAAGATATTAAATATACGCGTGATATCTAGATCTTGTTGAAGACACTTAAAGCTTTTTTTTCATTAATATAAAAAAATACAGAATATAAACAAATAAGTTTTGTATATAAAAATGAGTTTGCAAAAATTTATTTATTTTTATTATTAATACATACACGCGGAAGCTATTATCATTGAATGAGGTTTAAAAATTATATTTAGTAGCTGAACCCAATAGGTTTGCTGGTAAAATTCCTAATTATATGTAAAAATTTTTTTTTGTGAACTTATATTTTTAGAAAAATGTGGTAATGATTATTTAAAGAAATGAAGATTAAATAAAATAATTAAGAAATTAATAATTTTTTTGACATTGAAGATAAAAGACCTTTGGTTTATACTCACTAACATTGGCAATATTTAATTCTAGACAAATATCTTTAGAAAATTTTTTTTTAAAATTAAAAAACAAATAAAATATGTAAATTTAACTAATTTCAACTAATAAAAATTAAATTGAATTTTTAATAAAATTAAATTAAATATTTAATAAAATTAAATTATAGAATAAATCGAAAAATTGTTATTGATATTCTACACAATATTTAGTTCTAGACATATATCCCATAAAAAACTACGTTAAAATTAAAAATTACATATAAAAATTAAATGCAATTAATAATTAACGTATTTAATTAATAATAAGATGTAACAATTAACATATTAAATATTTTTTATCAATATTCTAAATTTAAACCTAAACACTAAAATTGACAATATTAAGTTTTAGACAAAAAACACTTGAAAAAACTACCGTAAAATTAAAAATTAAATTAAATTTAATAATTAAATTTAATTAAATTTACTTTTAATTTTTACTATTTACTGTTTTATTTTTTTTACTACTTCTACTTTATTTTAATTAGTAATTTAATTACTATTTTGCAAAAACATTTAAATTGTAAGGTTTTTATTGACATTCTAGATAGGTGATCTTTGGTTCATATCTACTAATATCTCTAGAAACAACAGATTTTTAAATTTTCAAGGATATTATAGTAGTTTTAAAGACTCCATTTAGTAGGAAAATAAATATGTTTAAAATATTAAGAAACTATATATATATAAATATATCACATTATTTATCTAGAGATACTAATCTACACAGATATAAAAGTTGGAAACGTGTTGAGCTTCATCAAGAAAATAGATTTTAAGACAGTGGCGTAGTCAAGATTGTCTAAGAATGAAGACATACTAGAAAATATTTTTTTTAAAGTATTGTTGTAGGAGAAACACTAACCAATCTGAATATACAAGACAGGAGAAGACAAGACAGGCAGTAGATGTGCATGGAGACACATGCTGCGTCAGGCTGAAACCCGGTAACGGGTTGTTATAACCACTGAAGTAAGCAGTAAGTTTTTGCAGTGTTTTATCTATAGATTACATTATAAAGTGAAAAAGGATCAATTCCTAAACCCGTCATTGGGTACGTTACTGTTCCAAGACGGTATTATGATTAATAAATTATAGCTTTAAAATGGAAATGCAATATCTTATCCTAGAAAGGATTTGCAAAAATTAATAGTTTGGGTGAATTGATCACATATAGATTAAGTTAGTTATTGCCAAGAATTTAGTTTTTTCTAATTACAGAAAGATGAAATGAGCTTCAATCGTTCAATCGTTTGTAATTTAAAATAATTTAATAAAAATATAAAAATAAAAATAATTTTTAAAAAGCGTTATATTACGCATATATCGAAATCTCAGAATTAAGTTCACATACTATTAACGAATTTATTTTCTATTATAAACCATTCAAATAGTTGTACCTATTTGTGGATCTACCATTTTAAAGAAAATGGGTGTAAAAAGTTTTTTACTTTTACTTGGTATTAGGTTAAACTATGTTTAAATTAGCACTGCTCTTTAGAATTGTGTTAATAGAAATATGAAACTATATAAGTTAATATATTTTGTAATAAAAAAAGGTCAATCTATCTATACTGATTACATTGTTTTATTGATTAACGTGATTATTGCGAAATTCTAAAACATAAATTCTTCTATTATTGCATTCTCCGTATTTACATAGTATCGCGTAATTTCTGGTTGTTTCCACAACAAAAAATCAGGAAATCAGTATTAGCTTTTTTTCTCGTATAATAGACATATAATAAATAGTTCAATCAATTAATACTAAATAGTATTCATACTATGATAAAAATGTCATACAATTATTTAATATTTTTATTTTTTTTTTATTTATATATTTTTTTAAATAAATTATTTAAATATATTTATTTAATCTAAAATATATACATTTTACTTTTTTGATATTAAAAAATTATTATAAAAGTATTATTTGTTCTATATTCTGATACAAGCTTTAATCCAAAAGTTGAATGAAAAAAAAAAATTTTAAATAAATATTGTTCATATTAAATAATAAAAATAATAATTTTGTTATTAATTTTTTGAGTTGTTACGTCGAAATTTTTATTAAAATCTGTTTTGTTTTTTAAGAATGTTAACTTTTATTTCGTGCGTTATTTTTTAGTATAATTCTATACGTATTTCGGCAAATTCGCTTTTGCCTTCATCAGGAGGATTCCTAATATTAAAAACATCTATGCAACTTACAAGCTATTTATACTTATTACAGGTCTTATAATTTAAATCTAATTGGTAGGGTTATTGTTGTTTTTGTCCTTGAGGGTGTTAGGTAAAAAATGGTGGGATGGGTTAGTTTTTGTTGTTCAGGCTTAATCATGCGCAGGTAGTTCGGTCAACTGGTTGGATTTGTTTTTTGGGATGTATTTGAAAAGCCATGATGATACGTTTCCCTTATCGCCGTTGAGTAACGGTGTTGCCTGATGTTTGTGTATTTCGATGCTCTCTGCCGTTTCTAATTTCCAGGTATCCCTTACGTTTTTAATTATTTGGGCATTCTCTTTGTTGATGTGGTGTTTTTCCGTTATTATATGTCTGGCGACATTTGATTTTATGTGAGGGTTTATTTTTTTCAGTGCTTCCCTCGCTTCTTTTAGGTGTTCTTCGAGCCTTACCGATAAGGGTCTTTTTGTTTGTCCGATGTACACTTTGTTGCAGGAGCCGCAGTTGATCTTGTATACCCCGCATTTTTCTAAGGAGTCGATTGGGTCTTTTGTGGATGGTAATAAACTTTCGAGTTGGTGTGGTCTACTGGAATTCGCAGAAAAATTAAAACGGGAAAACATTACAGGAGATGAAGAAATGGTGTCATTCGACGTCAAGGCGTTATACCCAAGCGTTAACGTAAAAGAAGCAATAAGGATCCTTGAGGAAGAACTCCTCAAAAAGAAAACAG